CTTACTCCTGCTCCAGCAGGACCTTGTACATCGACCTCGCGGCGAGACAGTCCTACTGTTCGCTGCTAAGGAGCTATACGATTTGGAGCTCTTCGAGGAGGAAGCCTATGAACAATGGTGGGCCGATGAGCGGTCAAGTGCCAGCGAAGAGATGAGGCAGGTGCGGAGTCAGACCCAACAGTTCGTGGACTGGCTCGCCAATGCCGAGGAAGAGGAAAGTAGTGAAGAGGAAGAGAGTGAGGAAGAGAGCGATGAGGAGTGAAGCCGAAGTCCGGCACTACGTAGTCATGCCCTTGGAAAATAGGGGGAAAGCAGGAACGAGTTTTGCGTTATGAGGCAGTATATCGACATAGACGAGCAACTTATGATATCCATTGATGGGCCATATATAATTTCATAATCAATATTCGATATGTTGTTATGTCTCAATCGTCTATCTACGGACAGAGCTGATTTCGAGTTGAGACCGTTGCCTGGCTGCCTAAGACCGGTAGCCTGAAAATGGCTCCAAGGTGTCCATTTAAGTGCACCATTATTTAGCCTCAGTCGAAGTACCTACAAGATACATCTCTCTTTGCATCGATAATCTCAAACAGTTACTCTCTTCTTGCCGTGACTCATAATTCCTATCTCACTAGTTCTAACCAGTGCTTGAAGCTGTCTATACTGAACCTTTCACGGATGCACTGACATCATTCTCCCCGTGGACCCAGTCAGCTGGGCATCGATATCTAAGAGGGCGCTGCAAGATACTCCGAGAATACCCAAAGAGCCCCAGAGGATCCAATGACAGCAGAGGGAAACCTCGAAGGATATCAAACAGTAGGTTAGTTAACTATTGAGCCCATTGTGGTGTACTTTGATTTCTCCCCACAGTGGGTGGCCTTTCCGCGATTGCCAGCGGAGTCATCCGAACAAGATTTCCTCCCTTATGACTGGGAGGCTTGCTGATCTGTCGGATCGTACATATCAAGTCTCAGCCTCTAAGCCATCCCCAAGAATCTCACTTGTTTCCAACCCCTTTAACTCACTCATACTACTCCACATACCTCTGCAGGCTTCCCCTTGACACTATCAGCCTGTTGAAACAATTAGTGATTGATGTCTTGGGTAACAGTGCATGCTTGTTCTAAACGTTTAGACGCCCCACTCCCGTGACGTCCAGCGATCATACGTGATAACTAATCACAATCACCCCTCGCTCTCTCCCTTGACGCTGAAGTCGATAAGCGACGCAACGACCCCGTTTGGTGCTAGTGCTGCATAGCTTAGTTTACCCTTCCATCGCTGTCGACACCATCTTCAGTTCCCTAGACTGAAAATAGTTATCCACTTTTTGTTGGTAAGCTGCGACTTGTGTTGTCCCGGAAAAGAAGAAGGCCTCGAAGTACAACATCGAGGCCTACTTTTTTTCTAGTCAGCACATATCGGCTTGCCACAGGCATAGATCTTCACCACGCCTCCTCTAACGAGGAAAAGGAAGGCGGCCGAGGCGGCGATTACAGACCAGGAACCATCCATAACCGCCACCGAGGTTTCCGTCGCTGATTCGCGAACCGCCACCAGGAAAACCTCGTCAAACAAGAGGTCTACTCGCAGAAAGGACAAGCTCACGGACCAAGATCCTGACACAGATTCGGTATCGGTGGCGTCTGCAAGCATCACCGACCAAAACAAGCAGAAGGCAACCGATCTCGTCACGCCGGCTTCCACCAGTATGGATTCAGACGATGATTTTATGACGGATGCGTCCAGTGCCGATGATTTTTTGGATACACAGGGCAGTGATGATGAGAGTCTAGGAGAAGGTATGTTGCAGTGATCTTCCGTTTCGTACTTTACTGACGCGGTCTTTCTTCTGTTACTAGAGTTCGGTGACGAGTTCGACGGCGGATTTTCTCAAGATAAGGATCTACTAGGGAACACAAAGAAGCCATACGAAGTCGATTTCAGAGTTCTGAGCCCAGAGGATATCGATCGGGAGCAGAGTCAGCAGGTCAACGAGGTCTCGCAGATTTTGGGCCTGCCACCGGAGTCGTCCGCGATCCTACTACGGTTTGGGAGATGGAACCGGGAGAAGCTCATAGAGTCCTACATGGACCATCCGGAGGAGACGCTCGAGGAAGCTGGTCTTGGGACGAACTTTGATGTGACACCGAAGACAGAGGTTGTACCAGGGTTCATGTGTGACATTTGCTGCGAGGATGGTGACGATTTGGAGACATACGCTATGCGCTGCGGACATCGCTTCTGCGTTGACTGCTATCGACATTATCTCGCCCAGAAAATCCGCGAGGAGGGCGAAGCTGCGAGGATAGAATGTCCCGGGGATGGCTGCCATATGATTGTGGATTCAAAGTCCCTGAGTCTTCTCGTCGCCGATGATCTCAAAGAAAGGTAAGTCTTCTACAAGAGGCTTGTTGTTTTGGAATTCCTTATTTACGCGGGCCTTGCAGATACCAAACGCTGTTAATGCGGACTTATGTTGATGACAAAGAGAATCTCAAGTGGTGCCCGGCGCCAAACTGTGAGTACGCAGTCGACTGTCCCGTCAAGCAGCGCGACCTCAATCGGATCGTGCCCACGGTGCAATGTGCCTGTAAGCATTTCTTTTGCTTCGGCTGCACGCTGAACGATCATCTACCGTCTCCCTGCACATTGGTCAAGATGTGGCTCAAGAAGTGTGAAGACGACTCAGAGACCGCCAACTGGATCTCGGCCAACACGAAGGAGTGTCCTAAGTGCCATTCGACGATCGAGAAGAACGGTGGTTGCAACCATATGACGTGCCGCAAATGCAAGCACGAGTTCTGCTGGATGTGCATGGGCTTGTGGTCTGAACACGGCACCAGCTGGTACAACTGTAATCGCTACGAGGAGAAGTCCGGGTCAGAAGCTCGATCAGCACAGGCGAAATCTCGAGCATCTCTCGAAAGATACCTGCATTACTACAACAGATACGCCAACCACGAGCAGTCTGCGAAGCTCGATAAAGATCTCTACCTCAAGACAGAAAAGAAAATGACAAGCCTACAATCTCAGTCCGGTCTCTCATGGATTGAGGTTCAGTTCCTCGATACTGCGTCTCAGGCACTTCAGCAGTGTCGACAGACTTTGAAATGGACTTATGCCTTTGCATATTATCTTGCTCGGAACAACCTGACGGAAATCTTCGAGGACAACCAGAAAGATCTGGAGCTTGCGGTGGAGAGCCTTAGTGAGATGTTCGAAAAGCCGGTACCTGAATTGGCCAATCTGAAAGTTGATATCTTGGACAAAACGGCCTATTGCAACAAACGCCGAGTGATCCTCCTTAGCGACACCGCCCAGAAATTGAAGCAAGGTAAGCTCTCATTCATGACACAATGTTGATGCACGGCATAAAGCTGACGACTATATCTCTTCAGGGGTATGGTCATTCAATGTTGAATGGTAGACTATATAGAGCCGACAGACACCCAGCTGTTCCAGATGTTGATATTTCAATCAAAGCTGGCGAACCGGCCAGATGTGAATGGGATTTTCATGACGTGAATGATGACAGCGCATATGATTTCTATTTCTGATTCATACAAGATCATTACATTTATCTGTTTACACCCGGTGTGACTGTCATTACTGGAGTTAGCGAGGCGGTGACTCACTATTTTATTGTATTAGTTAGCAATGCATTATTTTCATCTCTGTTCATCAGGTCGGTTGGACAATGGGTAGGAAGGAGTCGGCTAAAATTTTTAAATCTACAGCTCCTGTATGCATTAAGACAGAGTCTATATACTAGGAAGTTGAAGGGTATAACAATTACAAGCAATGGTTTGTAGATTGCATGCTCCTTCGGGCTCTTAGGGATATTACTAAAAAACCACTCTAAGAAGGTTGATTTAGCTAGAGCTGATATTCTATTAACAAGAGCGATGGTTCTTTGAAGGCTAGCTAGGTAACGTTATCATGGTTACTGATCACTTGACTGGGTTCAAAATCTGATTAATGGGATCAGATAAGGAGCTGAAGCTAACCAAGGGCGTGGTATTAAAATTTAGTAACATTAAACATTGGTTGATTCGGTTTCCTCCGGGACTCGGAGGGTCCAGTGCTGATATTGATAAGATATCCTGCTTCGGAGTGGCGGACAAGAACTGGGTTACGGAGTATGAGGTGTTAAACAGGCAGAAGCTGACAAGGTTTTCAGGAAGAGAAATACGCGCGAACTGCATGGAAAGATTCAGCTGCTGCTGTCATTGTATCTTTGCCTGTAGTGCTAACATAACTAGGATATTCGAGGTTTGTTTTGAGTATACTGAAGAAATCTCCGTCATCGGAACCTCGGTGTAACTAGTCCGGGCTTAATGGATGATTAAGCAGCGGAGGCTCGACCTCATTATTAGCAACTAATCACGATGGTGCGCCTGGCGACAGTAGTATATCGTGCTAGGGCGATGTGTGCTAGATCTAGAGTAAAATGTAATACATTTCCGTCTCACCATCTTCAACTTTGCAAGCAAGTCATTAACGTCTCGTCGCTCGATTGATTTGGTCCGAGTTGTCTTGTGTTCAATCCACCGGCAAAAGTAGTGACTTTAGCTCCGCGGCATTCGACTTTAGCGCAGCAAACGAAAAAGAACAATAATTTCCCCAACCTGGATTTTCCAGAAACATTGTCAACCTCCCCGATCGATCAGGCCCTCCATACATCCGGTTCTCTCTTTTGCTTCACGAATTGAAATTCGTCTTTTATTACCCCCGTTGATTGAAGTCTCCTTGGGGCCCATATCCGTTTCTCCTATCGTCGTCGACTCTTTTTGCGCCCAGCTCGTTCCTCTTCGCCCGCAGGCTCAATCCAACCGACAATCGTCGCTACTGCCAAAGCCCGCTTTCATCGGCATATTGAAAAGAACATTCGGACAAACTCGAGGCACCCGTCTTCTTGGCCTCTCCTCTCCTCCTTTCATCCTTTTTCAATTTCGTGCGGCTCCGGCTGCGTCCGGAGCTATTAGAGCTCAATGGCGGTCCCCGAGCAGATTCCAGGGCAGGAATATGAGTACGTTTCTATATTCAACACGGATCCCACCACTCCATATTTGCAACATTGTCGGTATCGCGAGGAGAAGGCATTCTAAAGCTTACTTCTCGCGAGTCGACTCCCTCACCTCCAATCGCACTGCCTATTCCAACGACGCACTGCTAACCTCTATTCGACGATAGCTACGAAGCCCTTCCCTCAAACTATGGCCTCGGCCGGAACATGTTGGCTGGTGCCTTTGCAGGGATAATGGTATGTCGGCGTTGAAAATTGCGACTTCTGCGATTTCCGTGGCGATACTGACGGGAAGGGAAGGAACACGCTGTCATGTACCCGGTAGACTTATTGAAGGTATGTTGGGTTTGAGGACAATATTTCTCCTAGATCACTTTCGGACACGTAACTAATATCGGGGTGGCTACGGACAGACGCGCATGCAAGTTTTACATCCTACAACCGGAGGTCTCTACACAGGCCTGACCAATGCGGTCTCCACAATTTATCGGATCGAGGGGTGGCGGACGTTATGGAAGGGAGTCTCGAGTGTGATTGTCGGTGCTGGTAAGGATGCACATATCACTGACATATTCGGGGAATGAGGAAGAGCTGACAATCCTGGTTCGGCAGGTCCGGCGCATGCCGTGTACTTTGGTACTTATGAGGTTGTCAAGGAGATGGCCGGTGGAAATGTCGACGAGGGCCACCATCCGCTTGCTGCCGGTAAGTGCTCTTAATTATAATTCTTGTCGACGCAGGAAAAGTACTGACATTCCCAAGCCGCTAGTGGAGCGGCGGCCACCATTGCCAGCGATGCTCTGATGAACCCATTCGATGGTAAGTCATCTTCGACGGACTGACCCATTTGACTTCTTTGACACCTGGAAATAGTCATCAAGCAACGGATGCAAGTACATGGCTCCGTACATAAGAGCCTTTTACAATGCGCCACGTCCGTGTACCGCACCGAGGGTCTGCATGCATTCTACGTCTCATACCCCACTACACTCTGCATGACGGTGCCTTTCACGGCTACTCAATTCGTGGCGTACGAGTCAATCTCGAAAGTGATGAACCCGTCCCAGGAATATGACCCATTCACCCACTGCATCGCTGGTGGTCTCGCTGGTGCCTTCGCTGCAGGTCTTACTACTCCTTTGGACGTTGTGAAGACGCTTCTTCAGACACGTGGGTTGGCGCAGAATGAGGAGATTCGATCGGCAAAGGGCCTTTTCAATGCGGCGGCCATCATCAAGCGCCAGTTTGGCTGGAGAGGCTTCCTACGTGGTGCTCGTCCCCGCATCATCTCCACGATGCCCAGCACCGCTATTTGCTGGTACGTTGTTCTCCGCGCATGAACAGGGTTTCAGAACTGACATCGGCATACAGGACCTCGTACGAGATGGCCAAGGCCTACTTCAAACGCCAGGAGTGAGACTTTCGAGCTCCTACCCGTAACGGCCCCTGTCACATAGATGCAACTATACCTACCATTTCTCCAACTTGAATCGATTCCCATCGGCAAACGTGAAAAGTTAATAGGGTTTCAGACTGAAAAAATGAAAATTTCAAAAGCTATATTTCAATGCATATTGCATAAGAGAAGGGGTACCGGAAGAACAGGGAGAGAGCAAACCCACGGGTTGGGAATACTCTGTCCTAGCCGGTCACAGACAGCTTTGCGATGTGTTCTCTATATTTCCTCCAATATTCCTCCTTCTCTTGACATGTCTTTGCGTCTTCCTCCGACCCTGGTTACCCCCCTCATCTGCCGCTTTGCTTTGCGCACCCCCTGCCGAGGCGGTTCTGGATTTCAGGCACCCCCGACGTTTGGACCACCTTGTGGACGATACATTTCTCCGATTTATATTTATCCGTTCAGATAATGTGTGCATAAGTTCTCTTTGGGACGGGTGTTGTGGGCTTGATATAGAAGGGCTTCTTTCATTGGAAACATACTTGAGGCGGCTCCTCTGACGAGATTTCTAAGACGAAAATGTGAGCTCCTAATTTAGATTGCTCTACTGCTTGACCGATGTATCCTGTATTTGTGCTGGCGTTGGGCATGCAGGAAAGCTTTCCCTGCGGTTATTAATTGGGACCTTCACTTGATCCCAGTACCTGGTTGGATATATGTACTCAATAGACGGAACGATTGGCCCAAGCTCATTCAAAAACTACATACTATATATAAACTTGATTGAAGAAGATCAAGGAGCTAGCAGATATCTGTCACAGTAACTAAGGTATTATTACTACGATGACAGTCGTAGTATCACCGTGGGGTAGTGTCTCCTCGATCCGGCGGACCAACGACGTCACGCGAGGAGAGACGAAAAATCAAATCAGCAATCCCATCAACTTCCAGCAACCCACCTGTTCGTCTGTTCTTCCCCAGACTCACTTGGCCATCGATTCCATCTTCCCCTTCCATCTGTCCATCCAATCCTTCATCCCTACTCTACCACGCCACCCGTACCGCCTCTGGACATCCCGACATCGCCCCCTCGGTTCCCGACAACCCTACAATTTCGCCTCCGCACTCCAATTGTGGTCGATCGCATGGCTGATGCGGGCGGGTCCTGCATTTCCGCCGGCGTGAATGATGCGCTCCAAGCCTGCTGCGTCTTCGCTGCAGAAGACGTACGATGAGTGCTACCTCTCGTGCTCCACGGCTGTATACTTTGAGGGGCAGGTCTGTCGCCCCCTCACTTCCTATCTCGGATTTATTCGCCCCATGTCAATTGATGTTTTCTATTGTCTGAGGTACTAATCTGCTCTGATATTCTAGAACAATGAAGATGAAGCTTTGAGAGCATGGCGCTCTGCTCTAGACACAATCTCTTACCACAACGCATACCGACTGTCGTCGACTTATACACCCAAGAACGAAACCGAAAAAGCGCTCCAAGATTCGATCCGCCAGCTAGAGCTCCAGTGCCGAGAGCGAGTCGATCTCTTGGAGGCTCTCCGTGAAAGCAGGAAGGAAGCACATGAGAAGGACAGTCCCACCACGAGCGGTGTCAGCCACCGATTCTTCAAAGGCAAATCGGCCTCAAAGTCACCTACTTCGAACACACCCGGTTGGATCGGAGACGGGACGGTACCTCCGGTGGATTATACGGACTTATCTCGACCGCCGCCGATCCCAGGACGTCCAGCACCGGTGACGCAGGCGAGTTCAGAATCGGTTATCCAAGACAGCAGCGTTGCGTCTGCGACTAGCCTACCGGCATTACGAATTCCATCGCATTCGTCCGGCAAAAACCAGTCCCGCAACTCGAGCCCCGAGAAACGGAAGACGATGCCTACCACACTGCGCAAGTCAGGCGGGCACAAGAAGCACAGCAAGAACAAGGATACTCTCCGGCGGAAGGATTTGCGGCCGGCTGCGTCTCAGGCTGCGGGTTTAGCCTGGGGGAACATCTACCGGCTTCCTTCAGCATCTGGGAATCTAGCAAGTGACGCCGCAATAACGTCCTCGCGGCAGAGCATCTCCAGTGACTCTGGGTTCCGGAAAGATTCCGGTCAGTTCAGGTCCCACTCCGGGGATGAGCTCGTGTCGAAGAAAAGCGTGGCAGACGACTCAGACGGCCGGGAGCCTCGACCTGTCCGGTCTGCGCGACGGACAAACAGTAACACAACCCCTGTGCCAACGCTAGCATCAACTCATCACTCCCCGGCTGGTGAGGTCCGGCAGCCGTCAGGCAGTCGGAGCAGGACGCTTGCCCAACCATCGTCGGAGCCTGTTGCCAACCCTCAGAGTAGTGCTAGGCCCTCCGTGAGACCCAAACCTGTTGCGCTCAGAGCTTCACCTCAGGATTCACAATCGAGCAATGTTGGCCCAACCTCATTCCCTGTCAGAAAAACGAGACCCGAGACCACAACGCGCATTTCGGACAACCCACAAAGGAAGGCCACATCGGGGTCTCGGATCAACTCCGCGTCGACAGGAAAGCCTGTCTCCCGAACCCAACCTGAGGATTTGAGTCCTTCCATGAGGCAACTGGAGATATCAGACAATTCTACTCGACGCAAACCACAACCTGCGCATACAGTTACACCGCCTTCAAGCGATCAAGAATCAACTGGTCCGAAGTCGATAGACGCGGACGAGGAACTAGAGGAAGAAGACGAAGACGAGGACAGTTCCATCACGGATATCATGAACAAACTGCCCAAGGGCATTGACCCTAATGCGGCCCGGCAGATCCTCAATGATATCGTCGTTCGAGGTGACGAGGTCCACTGGGATGATATTGCCGGACTGGACGCCGCCAAGAAAGCGCTCAAAGAAGCCGTTGTCTACCCGTTCCTTCGCCCGGATCTCTTCTCAGGGCTTCGTGAACCTGCTCGAGGGATGCTCTTGTTCGGTCCACCGGGGACAGGTAAGACGATGCTCGCTCGGGCGGTAGCCACGGAGTCGAAGTCGACCTTCTTCTCTGTCTCTGCGTCGACATTAACATCCAAGTGGCACGGCGAGAGCGAGAAGCTCGTTCGAGCGCTGTTTGGGCTCGCGAAAGCATTGGCTCCATCCATCATCTTCGTCGACGAGATCGACTCGCTCCTTTCATCGCGCTCGTCCGGAACAGAAAACGAAGCATCGCGGCGATCGAAGACGGAGTTTCTGATCCAGTGGTCGGACCTTCAACGAGCAGCAGCCGGCCGTGAGCCATCAACAAAGAGAGGCAGGGGAGACCCTAGTCGGGTCCTCGTCCTGGCAGCGACCAACATGCCTTGGGATATCGACGAAGCGGCTCGTCGACGGTTCGTCCGCAGACAGTACATCCCCCTGCCCGAGCACCATGTCCGCGACCAGCAGCTCCGCAAGCTCCTGAGCCATCAGGTGCACGAACTGGATGACGAGGACATTGAAGTCCTCGTTCATGTCACAGAGGGTAATTCCATCATCATCATTATTCCCCATCCCATTTCCTTATCTATCATACTCACATGATCAACAAAAATCACAGGCTTCTCCGGCTCCGACATCACCGCCCTCGCCAAAGACGCCGCCATGGGTCCTCTCCGCAACCTCGGCGAGGCCCTCCTCCACACCCCCATGGATCAAATCCGTCCCATCCGCTTCCAAGACTTCGAAGCCAGTCTCAAATCCATCAGACCCAGCGTCAGTCGCGACGGACTACGCGAATACGAGGAGTGGGCCAGGAAATTCGGCGAACGGGGCGGCTGATTTATCCCTTGTGCGCTTCACTCAGCATCTATCTTCTCTTTTGCAGGTCTCCGTAGGCGGATTCGATGCCTTGAGTCCATCGTACATGTTCCTCGGTCTTTGGTGTTTTCGCACAGCTTGTTTCGGCGCGGTCTTACTCGGGTGGTCTACATGTCATGTTATGGTTGGTTGTTCGGCTGGTTCGGTTTGAAGGGGTTCCTGGTGTATAGGCACATACATGGTATTGGTGGTACCGGAGGAGCGGGCGCTTTTCTGAAATGACTTTATAGTAACCCTGGCGTACATGGTTCAACTTGGTGATCTCGATGTTAGGGGCATGGATAAGGTAGGATTGGTGTCTCAGTTCTCGTCGTTACATTGGACTTTGCAGCTTTCTATGTTCAACGATCGATATCTAGAGATACTCTTGTGACCTCGAGGCCATAAGGTACTAACTTACTTATACTTACTAAAGGTATATAAAACTTATCTTCCACCTACGTTCAACGCAATCTCGAGCAAGTCATCTCAGTGGAGATATCATCTCATTGACAATAGAAAGTAATAGGTATGTAAGCGGTAGTAGGTATGGCGATAAAGACAAGTACATCACAAAGGGAAATGGTAGGCCAGAGACGGACAATAGAGGACAGGGTGAGCCAGGTCGAGGAATTAGGGAGTTGACGAGAGAATAAGTCGTGCATCTTGCCGACGAGCGACGAGCAAGATGGGGCCAAGAGGGAATAAGAAGTAGGCATCTCTTGTATATTCACAATGCCATCAAAGTAACGGAACATTCATCAACCCGGCCGAAGAAAAGAAGATCAGTAATCAGCGAAGGATGCTAAATATGAAGGGAGAAAAACAACCGTGGTATCCCAATCAACGAACATTTCCTCAAACCCAGAGTTGATGGAAAAAAGTAGACAGTTATCAACTGTGCGCACTTTACAAGTCGATCAGGCTGCCACCGGCCTGAGGCTGCTGCTGGTACGGCCGCTGAGTCGCCCAAGGGTTGTTCGAAGATTGAGCAAAGCCTGTCGACTGTGGGACAAATTGCTGCTGGTTATAGAAGGGGTTGTTGCCTGTGTGAGTGGCTCGCAGACGATCCAAACCCTGACCGGCAGAGTTGACGAAGGTGCCTGGAGCAGTATGCTGGGCCGGGATACGTAGATCGCCGACGTTGCCGAAAGTGTCCTGCCCCTCGCCGGTCGCTAGAAGAGCATTGAGACGGGCGTGGTGAGGATTGTTCGTTTGTGGCG